AGACAGGGTTGAACTTTGGGCATTTCATTTGAGAGTTGCCAGTTCAATCTTGCATTGATTTGTTTGTCTTAATAAGAAAAGTACTTTATATTTTGCGTTGAAGCTAAAACTGTCTCAAGTCGAGATTGATGGTCTTTATTTTACTAGTATCTTTTTTTTTACTTGTGTAGTTATATCCCTGAACTTTATGTACAGTTGACACTCAATGTATAAAGGCAGTAGGGAAATCAATCCCTATTTTTCCTTTTCTGGATGGCATTTGTGAGAAAACGTGTTAACCCGAGATTAAAACCCAAGGTAGTACTAATGGTACGCTTTTGGAAAGAATGCAGTATCCAGACGCTACTTCTTTGGCTATGCACAAAGTCTATGGAGAGTCTAAGACCACTTTCTAACAAATTGGGCTCACGTTTCTCAGTCGCAGATTCATGTCTTTTCGACATTTTTGCAGTGACTGATTCATTGAGATAATAAATGATGAAAAAATGACGTCAGGATGCAACATTCTTTCCCATATTTCTCTCGGAGTGAAATTTCTTCTTTTCTTTACACCTGAGACTCTGACAGAGAAAAATCTATTCAAACTGTTTTTTTTTTCAATCTAAGTGTATTTTTTTTTCACTCTGAATGATCTGTTGCCTACTTTTAGTGGGTAACAGAGTGATTTGTCGGATTAAAAATAAGAATGTTTTTGCAGGTTTTCTGCAAGGTGTGCGTGTATAAGAGATCCCTAACTTGTAAGTTCCTAACAATTATGCATAACTACCCATGATGCATGTACCTCGATGTAAGTTCAGTCTGTCACAAGCCAATGTGGCCCATCAGGCTGGCATTTATCTCCAGTTTCAGTAGCATGAAACAAGAATATTTCTACTCCCCCTGGATGGGATGCCAGTCCATCGCAGGTTACTCCCCAGCTAATGCTGGAACCATTTATACTCCTGGGTGGAGAGAGGCAAGTGGGGTAAAGTGGCTTGCCCAAGGACACAGCATATGGCCAGCAGCTGGATTCAAACCCTAATGTGTCCTTCAACAAAAATCTGTTGAGATTTGTTGGGTTCCAATAATAATGTTAGTGACAGTTAAATCTTCTTTGTAAACATGTCAAATTTTTCATTCTCGAAGATTCATATAATTGTCAGCGCGGCTACGTAGTAAATAATTTTATACATGTGAACTTTACATGTATTGTCTCTTACATCAAAAATGTTACATAGTGACTTGAAACAATGAGAATCCAATGATTAGAAATTAATGTGTGGTCGACTAATTTGAGTGTTTATGTTTCATTTTAGTATTTTGTTGACTACTTCTTTTTCATGTTTTTATTTTATTTATTTTTTCATTTGATGTGACCCTAATATGAAAATGAAAATTAAGAAAAGGAATTGTCCCGATTTTGTTTTCATGTTGTACATGGATTGGTTCGTCGCAATTTGACGCTGGTTTTGGAGGACTCTTGTAATCGCTAACACTGGTTCTCGACTTCCTAGTCAGTTCGTTGGTCAACTGCACCACAGGGGCGGCGGAACTGTGGGGGGGGGGGGGGGCTGTGGGGGGGGGGGGGGCGTTTGCCCCCCCCCCCAGATTTTCCCAAGTGCCCCTTTTGCGGCCATAAATGTGCCCCCTCGAGATAAATAAAAAATGCCCTTAAAGTATCTTAGTATTTCTTAGAAGTAACCATTTCCCAATCCCATAATGGTAGAGATATTTTTGATATAAACGAGGAATATGAAAACAAAGTCCCAAATCCCATACAAGACGCCCTGAAAATGGGCACATAATATATGTTTAGCATAATAATCATTGGTTTTGAAGAGCGCCCCCTATGTTGGAAGATGGTACAAGCCCCCCCCCCCCCCCCAAGTGCCCCTTTTGGTTTGCAAGTGCCCCTTTTGGGTGCTGCCTGCCCCCCCCCCCCCCCCCCCCCCCCCAGCGAAAATCAACACAAAAATACTCAATTTCTACACTTAATTAAGATTAAAATTCATTTTACCGATTTATGTCAAAACGGAGAAAAACCTGCCAAATTTAACTCAACTTAATTTTCTTTCAAGAGAGGGCGCGCTACACAAATAGTGGTCACCATCGTAAAGAATGTTCTGTCTTTAAACTGAAAGCATGAATGGAACTTTCATAGTTCAAAAACAACACACTCGTTTTCCAGACGATAACTCAAGAAATGCGTGTTGCATTGAATCGATATTTCGTATTGTGATTAAAGGTAACATATATCACAAATCTGTTGAATTTGGAGTGGGATCGTCCGACAATAAAAACAATATAACCAAAATAATGTACTGGGGAAACACGGAGAAAATCCCGCCAATTTATGTCATTTTCATTTTTCTTTCACAAGAGGCGCGCTATTGGTCACCACTGTACTGTGTACGTAAGTACAAAAGTATTGTCAACACGAAAAACCATGCCTCAAGTTCATGACACAAAAACGCTCTCGGTTTGACGATTCCTCACTAAATTCAACAGATTTGTTCAATCATCTGTATGTTTAATCAATTTATTAAATGTCGATTTCATGCAAATATGTATTTCTTGAGTGGCTTCTGGAACCCCGAGTGTGTTGTTTTTGTGTCATGAAAGTTGACTAAAATCTCCAGTTATTTGTAGCTAGCTAGTTCTTTAACACACTACATTTCCGGAGTATATTAATTATATTTTTGACGGTTTCTCTCCAAATTCGCAAGTGATGTGTTGTGTATGATAACTTATCAGGAGATTTGATTTCAGTCCAATACAACAAGCATTTCTTGAAAAGTCGTCTCAACAACGAGTGTGTTGTTTTTGTTCCATAAACATATTGACTCAAATTCGCCTTGTATTTTGCGCGCTTACATGCCACATTGTCTTGTGTATATTTTTTATTATTGGTCAACAATTGATATCCAAATTCAAGAGATTTGATACATATATCAGGTTGAATCGTTATGCAATATTTCAAATTAATGCACCAAGTACTTCTTGAGTTATCTTCTCGAAACCGATTGCATTGCTTTTTGTCATGAAAGTTGACTCAAGATCGCCAGTATCTTGAGCGCTTTAACACACTACATTTCCGGAGAATATTAATTATATATTTTTTTTGATTTTGAAAAAAATACTTGATTTTGGACAATGAGTCATCTTTAATGCCAAAACCCAGTTACTAGTCCTTATCATTTGTTTGTAAAACTGTACGCATGCAGTACTGACATGCGTGAAATGTTTTGGTTAAATATGATTGTTTTATTTTGTAAATCTAAAAATTAATGTGGCCTGACGTTGCGAACTTAGCAAGTTCTTCTTCAGAGGCTAAAACAGAAATGACAGAGGTACATACATTAACATGGGGGTGCACACAAACATGCAGGGATGAAAGAAGAAACACAAAAGGAGGATTAGGTGGGAAAGGTGTGGAAAGATGCAGGGGAGGGTGGATGAGAGAACAAAGAAACAAAGGGAGATGGCAAACCACAAGGGGTCTGGTATGAACAGGGGAGGGACCAGAAAGGGGAAGGATCAAAGGTCACAGGGAGTGGGAACGGACAAAAGAGTGTGGGAGTGAAGGGGGATTATGCGGGGGGGGGGGGAACAGTATGGAGGTGGAAAGGGATGAAAGATGGGGAAAGATGGGGAAACACAAACAATGAAGACCAGGTGGATTATCTGTAACAGAAGACAATGGAGGAAGAAAAATATTAATCATTTCCAAGTTGGATGTTGAGACCATGTGGTTGAATAGTTCGAAGACGATTCATCCACACTTTCTCTCTGCTGAGGCGAACTGAGTCCTTGCGATGGCCAAGAGATTCAATGCCCTGCAAAATCATATCAGAAATGGAGTGGTTAGGCAGGTTGAAGTGATGACCAACAGGGGTGTCTAGTTTCTTGGTGTTGACCGTTGACCGGTGGGCATAGAAACGCTTCTTGAGCGTATTCTTAGTCTCACCTACATACTGCACTCCACAGACCCTGCAAGAAATAAGATATATGACGTTAGGGGTGTTACAAGTGATGTTACCAATGGTTCTGTGGGTAGTGACAGAAGAGTGGCCAGAAAAGGAGTCAGACTCCTGGATATGAATCTGGCAGACAACACATCTGGAACTGCACTTGAAAGTACCATGCTGGGTGGGAGGGGATGCATCTAAGGATGGGACTTCAGCTCGAACAATCAAGTCCCGTAGATTTCGAGGACGCCTGTAAGCCAATGTGGGGCCGTTGGGGATGGCGCGGGCAAGGCGATCTGAAGTATGGAGGATATGATGATTGTCATTAGTGATTTTGCGAAGGGGAGGGAGATTGGGGTGAAACGTGGTAACCAAGGGAATCATGGGTTTGGCCATGGCATCAGGGGCCTTTCCCGTGAGAGCTAGATTTCTGGGGATAGCTTTAGCTCTGGCAATGGCACGATGAACTTGGCGAGAGCTGTGACCCCTGGCCACCAAGTTGTTCCTCAGTATCTGTGTATGGCGTGAGAAATCGGAATCATTAGAACAAATTCTTCTGAGTCTGAGTGCCTGGCTAAACGCTATGCCAGGTACTGGTGGGTGTCTAGTATCTGTGGGTTTGGAATACAGGTCAGTGGTTAGTGAGTTGCCTTGTTTGCGGACGGTGACATCCAGAAAGTGGGTTTGGTGAGCCGAGAACTCCGATGTGAATTTGATGGTTCTGTGGAAGGAATTGATGTGGTTAGTGAAGGTCAAGAGACTGTCCTCATTGCTTGAGACCCCTTGTGGTTTGCCATCTCCCTTTGTTTCTTTGTTCTCTCATCCACCCTCCCCTGCATCTTTCCACACCTTTCCCACCTAATCCTCCTTTTGTGTTTCTTCTTTCATCCCTGCATGTTTGTGTGCACCCCCTTGTTAATGTATGTGCCTCTGTCATTTCTGTTTTAGCCTCTGAAGAAGAACTTGCTAAGTTCGCAACGTCAGGCCACATTAATTTTTAGATTTAAAAACGAATAGTGTCTAACATTAAATGCATTAGATGAAATGACCTGAGAGCAAATATGCAGTCCTATGCCCCCTGTCTGTCTGGCCTCAACTCCATTTTCAAAGCTGTTAATGAAATAAAATGAATCAATAAACATTACTGCAACTTTCCTAAAAAAATACAGCAGTGCTGTTGAAACCCCTCGGCCTGAGTTTGTTGATATATGGTGCAAAATTACAAGTACATGTAGTACAATAGTTAATACTGGTCAATGGAATGACCTAGACCTTGACCAATGACATTGACCTTTGACCTTTGACCCCCAAATCAATCCAAACTTGATTTTCCTGAAGGGCAACCCCTGAAGTTACAAACCCGAATCATATTTCTAACTCAAATTATCATCGAGAAACAATCTACCTTCAACTCACCACTGATATACTCACCCACAAATAAGAAAATAATGTTCTAACATACTTCTAGTTGGGTAAAGTAGAGATATATTCATTTATTAATTAAGAATTTGCTAACTTTAAATAACCTTTTTAGTGTTAACCTGGAATTTTCCAAGATTTACGCAAGTGCGCTGTGTTAGGGAACACTAAGCTGATTTTTGGCCCAATTTCCGGACGCCACCGTTTATAAATTTTGCTCAAAATTGTATGACAGTGAAATTGTTTACAGTACTAGTAGTTAAATGGCAAACACTATTGAAAAAGTAGGCCCTACCAGTAACAACTGAATGAATTTGAAGTTTATCAACAAAGAAGTTTGGCAACCGTGCATGAGGAAAGTCAGGAGAAACGTCGCAGTGTGCCACGTTAGGGAACACCACTATATGTGTGCATTGATACTGGGTTCTTAATTGGGGTAGGTGCGGTGAACTAAAAACAATAGGCCCTGGCCCTGCTGACTATATGACTATACAATCATGGAGCTATAAAAAGAGGTCTTACCCAACAATGTATGCAAAGCATTCCAAAATACTCCGGAAAGACACCCATACCTCAGACGTCACTGACCAACAAAGACTATGAAATGTCCTTTGACATGTTTTCTCAGTAGGCATGCCATGGTAGCAACTTTTCCCTGCTAAATCCCACATTTTTGGACATATTATCCCTTTTAAAGGGAATATACATCATTTGCTTTTGCTGTAATTTTCAGAAATGGATGGAATTGGGGGGTTGGAAATATAAAGCAAATATAGTTACACTGACTTTTTGGAGGTTTTGGGTTCGAAAATGCTATAAAAACCAAGAAAAACGATCATTTTCCTGTAGTCTGGTTCCCTGACTCCATATAAGAAGAAACAGAGCAGTTTACATACATTGGGGAATTGTAAGGTCAGGGAACCAGTCTAGCTGGCTCGTACCCGTTCATAGGTTTGTAATCGATTGCAAACAAGTGCAATTTTCAATTGGGGCCAGTATTTGAAAAAAAGCCAGTTGTTTCCAACGCTGATCGGCCGATCAGCGTTGGAAATTGATACAAAAATACCACTTTTCTTGAAAATGACAGTATACCAGGTGCCATAATTTTACAGGATGCTTTAGACTGTCATTTACCAACATCCTATTAAGGTATTTCGCAAAATCTTGGTAGTTTTATTTTTCGATGATTACAAATGTTGTATATTCCCTTTAATGGTGATATAGGTCACTGTAGGGAAAAATTAGTGATGTCCAGATAAATTGGAATCTTTCCAGTACGCCGAAAAGAAGTTGAATTTTGAGAAATAAATAGTCCAGACTTACCTGACGTACAGGCCTATATAGCCTACCGCTGCATTATCTGCTGCATAATGTTGATCGATAACCAAACAACAGGTGGCGCTCTTTACAATTAACGGTGTCAGGTACAATCTCATTCAAGTGATGTTGAGCAGTACGCGTTGCCATGGTGATACGTCATCAGTGTGCTCTGCATCCTGTATGTGCTCCACAGTTGACATCCTTGGTAGAACCTTCAAACTCTGTCAACTTCAAGAAACAAAGGAAAACAAGTTATTTTAACATCTTAACCATAAGGTTTTGTTCAAATATTGTTTTCATCTGCTATTTTTGGAAAGGGCATCGTTTGAAGAATTTGGTTGACAATAATTACTGTGATATTTCAGAACAATTTCCCAAAAAATTGACAAATTTACAAACGATAAAAATGGGGCCTGTAGGGCCTGACCATACTTCCTGAACTTAGTTTAAAACCCTTACACTTACAGTTCTGGAAGAATGACTATACAATCATGGAGCTATAAAAAGAAAGTATAACAATGTATGCAATTAAAGCATTAATAACCCCCTGGGCCCTTTTTGCTTGGAACCATCCTCAATCCTTTTTTTCAAAATTGTCAGACAGTCCTGCCTCAAAATGCATTCATCGTCAATCCTCCAAAATCCTCCTCATCCCAAAATTTTGCACTCGTGTTTAAATAAAGGATAACCAATGCCAAATCCTTCAAAATCATCAGACAGTCCTGCCTTCAAAATGCATTCATCCTCAATCCTCCAGAATCCTCATGTGCTTCAATCACCATTCATCCTCAATCCTCTAGAATCCTCATGTGCTTCAATCACCATCATCCTCAATCCTCCAGAATCCTCATTTGATTCAATCACAATGATTGATTTGATTTGATTTGATTCATCCTCAATCCTCCAGAATCCTCATTTGATTCAATCACCATTCATCCTCAATCCTCCAAAATCCTCATTAATATAAATACATAGGATACTGCTGTAAGAAAACACATTGGGGTCCACAAAAGATGGTTCGGTTCAGTGGATGCTCGTTTCAGCAATTTTCGGCCAGCAATGCTCAGTGTAACTGTGTACAATATTTGGGAGCCAAGAGGGATGTTCAATGTAGCAAATTTCTGTCGTACAATCTGCTTAAAATGTGATAGAACAAATCCAACATGGCAAATGTACGACTAAGATGTGATGTTTACACGTTTAAACGTAAAAACTTCTAAATCCGCTTACAAATTTTTCAAAACATTTAAACTAAACCCAAATTATACAAACGGGACCTCCGTTCACGCGATCTTCCTTGGAGATAACCACACATAGCACAAATAATTAACACAGATTTAAAACCTACTTAATTTACTAAACCTTAGAAGCACCGTAGTACTTGATTACATTTGGGGAACACGTAGTTACATTTTTACTTTATCAACGACTGCCTGCTATTTACTATGTCAACCATTGTTGATTTATCATGTCAATCACGCCGGTCTGCAGATCAGACATAATGGGTAGGCAAAAGCCACTGTCAATGGCTAAACGTTTAAAACGGTTATTGAAATATTTGCTTTACATTTACACAATGAAACGCAAAGTCACATCCTTAATATACAATCAGGGCGATGATTGCATGCTGGTTATGTCATTGTTAGAGACCCTTCAGTCTACCTCACACATGGGCAACATGTGCATCTCCCTAATGCCACTCTGGATTTTCCAGCAGTACATGAAATGCATGCACGCGACGTGTCGTGACTTTAGTTGGACATTTGGTTGTGCAGTCACAATTGTGAGTGGTCAATACATTATGAGTTGAGGCTTAACAGGTGGATTCATTCCCATCATTAGCAACTTGGAAGTTGGAAGAGGAAACGTCATTCACAATTGACGGTAATACTCACAGCATCTTGCCAACCAGAGACACGTGTAGTCATTCTTGATCTTCTCACTCTGAATGAGCACAAAAATCTGGAAAACAAGAGAAAAGAAACCCACTCCAATTAAATCATGGTAAAACCAAGTGTTGCCACCAAAACAGTGGTCTAGGAGGCACAGAAAGATCCCCATCTGGGTTTTAGACTTGTTTTTTATGCCTATTCGCCCTGAACAAGGCTAAAAGCCACACCAGATATACAGGGCTACAAGTCAGAGCAAAGCAGCTAAATCAACCACACCATCTCTGCCCTCATAGGCACCCACTTATAAGCCATCAGTGTGGGGTTTGGTCAGTATCAAATGAGGGCAATAATGCTCATTGTGATTTTCGGCAAGGTATGCACCCCTCTAGTCAGAAAATATGTGACAGCATTGCAGCGGTGGCAGCTTTTTGGGTGCTATCCCTTGTTTTCGTTTTTTTAAATGGCAGCCAAAACATGCTTGTTACAACATACAATTGATCCGGTTCAAGCATATTGACGGCAATTTTGAAAACACAAATCAAAAGTGATAACACTGCCACCACTCACACTGCAAAGCTATCACACATTCTCCAACTCTAGATGTGCCTTTCAAAAAATCGCTATGAGCATTGCTCTTTTCGATCGTCTGCCGGTGGCCCAATTTTTGGACCAAAGCTGATAGCCTATTACTCCTGGGTGGGGAGAAGCAATGAGTGACAAAGTGCCTTGCCCAAGGGCACACGCACCACGACCCCAGGCTGGACTCGAACGCACAACCTGCAGCTTTACCCGCAGACCACGAATCCAACGCCCTTAACCACGAGGCCACAGCACTCCACACTCCTCTTGAATCAGGACAGATCATAGGTTGGAGGGAAATAAGCACCAGGCAAGGAATTCCAAAGAGATGCAGCACATGGGAAAATAAGCTATTGGAATATCTTTTTGTTCTACATCTAGGTATACGGCAACAGTATATGGATGAGAACAGACAGAAAGTCGGGCTTCTCTCTCAAACAGGGCCAACCATCGGTGGACATTGATACAAAATTCCACTTTTCTTGAAAATGACAGCACACCAGGTGCCGTGATTTCACAGGATGCTTGAGACTATTATTCACTAACAGTCAGGTATTTCATAATAACTTGGTAGTTTCGGTTTTTGATGTTTGCAAATGAAAGACACCATGACTAGTTCAGGCCCCATGACGAGTCACTGCGCCATGACTGGCCAACTATTGAGGGCGCAACAACGAAAATTGGGTCCGGGAGTCCAACCTACCTCCTCTGCTTCCTTGTAGTTGCCTGCTGTGGCTTTGGCCTGCGCATAGTTGTAGTTGAACCTATCGTCGTTGTAGAAGTAACTCTAGAAACGTAAACATACAAAAATGTCATCTTAGTTTTTCTGATAATTTTCCCACCTGCACTACTTTCTTCCCCCCAAAAAGGACAAATACAGCTAAACCATGCCACAGAAACAACTATGAGCAAGTTGGGGCGAGACTAGTGGTCGATTCCTGACGTACTTTGATGCCTGAGCACTAATATCAACATGCAACGCCTCTAGTCAGACGATGGTCAAAATTTTTCACCAAATAAAGAGAATGGTCAAGAATAATTCCAAAAAAAATTTGGTCCTGAATATTAGAGGGTCATTGGCAATAAATACTTTCAGGTTTTTGGAGAAAAGTTCACAAACGAATAGTGTCTAACATTAAATGCATTAGATAAAATGACCTGAGAGCAAATATGCAGTCCTATGCCCCCTGTCTGTCTGGCCTCAACTCCATTTTCAAAGCTGTTAATGAAATAAAATGAATCAATAAACATTACTGCAACTTTCCTAAAAAATATAGCGGTGCTGTTGAAACCCCTCGGCCTGAGTTTGTTGATATAAGGTGCAAAATTACAAGTACATGTAGTAAAATAGTTAATACTGGTCAATGGAATGACCTAGACCTTGACCAATGACGTTGACCTCTGACCTTTTGACCCCCAAATCAATCCAAACTTGATTTTCCTGAAGGGCAACCCCTGAAGTTACAAACCCGAATCATATTTCTAACTCAAATTATCATCGGGAAACAATTTACCTTCAACTCACCATGATTATACTCACCCAAAAATAAGAAAATATTTTTCTGACATTCTTCTAGTTGGGTAAAGATATATGATATTTATTAATTAGAATTCGCTAACTTTAAATAACTTTTTTAGTGTTAACCTGGAATTTTCCAAGATTTATGCAAGTACCGCTGCGTTAGGGAACACTCAGCTGATTTTTGGCCCAATTTCCGGACGCCACCGTTTATAAATTTTGCTCAAAATTGTATGACAGTGAAATTGTTTACAGAAGTTAAAATGGCAAACACTACTGAAAAAGTACCAGTAATAACTGAATGAATTTGAAGTTTATCAACAAAGAAGTTTGGCAACCGTGCATGAGGAAAGTCAGGAGAAACGTCGCAGTGCGCCACGTTAGGGAACACCACTATATGTGTGCATTGATACTGGGTTCTTAATTGGGGTAGGTGCGGTGAACTAAAAACAATAGGCCCTGGCCCTGCTGACTATATGACTATACAATCATGGAGCTATAAAAGAGGTCTTACCCAACAATGTATGCAAAGCATTCAAAAATACTCCGGAAAGACTCCCATACCTCAGACGTCACTGACCAACAAAGACTAGGAAATGTCCTTTGACATGTTTTCTCAGTAGGCATGCCATGGTAGCAACTTTTCCCTGCTATAAATCCGACATTTTTGGACATATTATCCCTTTTAATGGTGACATAGGTCACTGTAGGGAAAAATTAGTGATGCCCAGATATATGGGAATCTTTCCAGTACGCCGAAAAGAAGTTGAATTTTGAGAAATAAATAGTCCAGACTTACCTGACGTACAGGCCTATATAAAACCTACCGCTGCATTATCTGCTGCATAATGTTGATCGATAACCAAACAACAGGTGGCGCTCTTTACAATTAACGGTGTCAGGTACAATCTCATTCAAGTGATCTTGAGCGATACGTGTTGCCATGGTGATACGTCATCACTGTGCTCTGCATCCTGTATGTGCTCCACACTTGACATCCTTGGTAGAACCTTCAAACTCTGTCAACTTCAAGAAACAAAGCAAAACAAGTTATTTTAACATCTTTACCTTCTAATTCATAAGGTATAGTTCAAATATTGTTTTCATCTGCTATTTTTGGAAAGGGCATTGTTTGAAGAATTTGGTGGACAATAATTCTGAAATTTGAGAACAATTTCCCCAAAATTGACAAATTTACAAAAGATAAAAATGGGGCCTGTAGGGCCTGACCATACTTCCTGAACTTAGTTTAAAACCCTTACACTTACAGTTCTGAAAGAATTACTATACAATCATGGAGCAATAAAAAGAAAGTCTCACAATGTATGCAATTAAAGCATTAATAACCCCCTTGGCCCTTTTTGCTCAGAACCATCCTCAATCCTCCAAAATTTTGCAACTCCGCCTAAATGTTTCAAAATGTTTCAGTCCTGCCTCAAAATGCATTCATCGTCAATCCTCCAAAATCCACCTCATCCCAAAATTTTGCACTCGTGTTTAAATGAAGGATAACCCAACGCCAAATCCTTCAAAATCATCAGACAGTCCTGCCACAAAATGCATTCACCCTCATGGAGGAACTTCCCGGCTCCAAAATCCTCATGTGCTTCAATCACCATTCATCCTCAATCCTCCAGAATCCTCATTTGATTCAATCACCATTCATCCTCAATCCTCCAGAATCCTCATTTGATTCAATCACCATTCATCCTCAATCCTCCAGAATCCTTCTATGCTTCAATCACCATTCATCCTCAATCCTCCAGAATCCTCATTTGATTCAATCACCATTCATCCTCAATCCTCCAAAATCCTCTTGTGCTTCAATCACCATTCATCCTCAATCCTCTAGAATCCTCATTTGATTCAATCACCATTCATCTTCAATCCTCCAAAATCCTCTTGTGCTTCAATCACCATTCATCCTCAATCCTCCAGAATCCTCATTTGATTCAATCACCATTCATCTTCAATCCTCCAAAATCCTCTTGTGGTTCAATCACCATTCATCCTCAATCCTCCAGAATCCTCATGTGATTCAATCACCATTCATCCTCAATCCTCCAGAATCCTTCTATGCTTCAATCACCATTCATCCTCAATCCTCCAGAATCCTCATTTGATTCAATCACCATTCATCTTCAATCCTCCAAAATCCTCTTGTGGTTCAATCACCATTCATCCTCAATCCTCCAGAATCCTCATGTGATTCAATCACCATTCATCCTCAATCCTCCAGAATCCTTCTATGCTTCAATCACCATTCATCCTCAATCCTCCAGAATCCTCATGTGATTCAATCACCATTCATCCTCAATCCTCTAGAATCCTCCAAAACCGCCAGGAGGATTTTGGAGGAGTGAGGTGGGTTAGGGTTAAAAAGTACTCCGGAAAGATTCCATACCTGGAGTTCTGGACATTTAGTGAAATGTCCTTGGTGTTTTTTTCAGACAGTAGGATGCTGGCAGAGGCAGTAAGCATGTAGGATGGAACGCCGTATTATCGCGGTACTTATCACGTTTCTTGTTTGGACTAGAGATTGCCCGCTAACCTTCCCGAATTGTCCAGTTTCTTAGGTTGTATAACTCTTCCTTTTCAAATGCCTGTGATAAAAATGCTCGGAATATGCGAATGGAGGTGGACTCCCTATTATCGCGGTATGTGGGAATTGTGGTTTTTATAATAATCTCAACCTTTTTTTTTTCATAGTGAATGTTTTACCAAAACATCCCCTGAATAAAGTCTGATATTTTCCCTGTAACGTTCAAGTTGATTAAACTTTGAAAGACTATATCCCAGCAGGATGATTTCTTAAAACCCTGCCCTTCCCCGAAAGGAGAAAATACTGTGATGACAAGTCTACTGATTGGCGATTGGGGGCGCCATTCAGTTTACACATCCCCAGTGTGCCGTTTTATTTTTTCTTACGCGCTGTCCTTATTTTGATCCTGTAAAAGTTTTTACGATTTCGCGGTGGAAATAACGTCCTTCGACTTCATTTTGTGTTTGCAGCTGTAGAAGGGGAACCAGACAATGGAACTTTCATGGACAGAGCACCATTAATGATTTATGTTAAACTATAGATGGTAGGCCTACCTTTTAGTTTAAGCAGACACGGTCATGACGGTGAGGGAAAATTTGCAGGTTTTGGAAAATGTGAATATTTATTAAAAATCGTTAAAGTCCCGAAAGACACAACATTTTTTAATCGGCCTTTTTAAATGACTCGGCAATAAGTCGTTATGGCCTGGAGAACTGGATAAAAATCGCCACTTAAAGGAGTTTAGGCAACACAAGAAGAGAAATTTTCCATGCCGCGATAAAGCCTAGGGATGCCGCTATAAGGGAGTCCGACTATTTTATCAATCTCATGACGAGGCCTTAGCTGGAGTTACCCAGCCCTGAGTTTTATCATTGGGTTGTCTATAGACAACCCAATGATAAAACTCAGGGCTGGGTAACTCCAGCTAACGAGGCCTATAGTTTTTTGGTAACAAATTTTCCTGCTAAATCCAATATTTTTGGACATTTTAAACCGGAATTGTGGCATAAATCACTGAAGGGAGAAATGAGTAATGTCCAGATATGGGAATCTTTCCAGTACGCCGAAAGGAAGTCGAATTTTGACAAGTAAATAGTCCAGACTTACCTGACAAAACATGCTTGGTGGACAGGCCTAGCCTACCGCCATGCCACATACATTATCGGGAAAACCAATCAACAGGTGGCGCTCTTTACAATTAACAGTGTCAGGTACAATCATAGACATAAAGAACCAAATTGCATGCCGATAAGGTGAAACGCACTGGAGCTGTACGTAGTATTTTTTTTGGGGGGGGGGGGGAGCTGTCCAAACCCTGGATGCTGGATGAGGAAGCAGGGGAGACCACGGAGAAGTTTCCTTGGAAGATCAGCAAGGAAGAAGTCACCACGCTCAAAGAGAAGGTAGAATCTCGAGCCTTCCTGCGCTCAAGCACCCCCCCCCCTTCCACAGAGAAAACTATAAACGAGGGCCATTTGGGCGCCATCGTGGCTTATAAATGCTGGTACCAAATGAACGATATCCAGCATGAGTGAACCAGTGAAGTGTCCCTCATTCTGGCTTCTGCTTGTTTGACTGTAAAGCGCCCTCTTTGTCCATGCATGGAGACAATACACTTAGAGCTCTTCCCAGTATCCACTTTATACGGAAGACGGATAGTGCCACTCAATGAGTGTGAATATATTTTTTTTGGTGCATGTGAAAATATTTTTTTTTGTACAGCGGCCGCCACTTATTATGTGGCGGCCGCCAGATAATAAGAGGCGGCCGCTGTACAAAAAAAAATATATTCACACTTTTTTATGTAGAGCTGCCACTTATTATCTGGCGGCCGCCACATAAAAAAGTGTGAATATATTTTATTTGTACGTGTGAAAATATTTTTTTTTGCACAGCGGCTGCCACTTATTATTTTAAATTTATGTAGCGGCCGCTGTACAAAAAAAATATTCCCACACGCACCAAAAAAATATATTCACACTCATTGAGTGGCACTATCTGTCTTCCGTAACTTAACGCGTAGTCAGTGATGTAGTGCCTTGATGCTGGGCCTTGGCCTTAAGGCTGCCTTAAGGCTGGATTTTAGGGCCTTGGCCTTGGCCTCGAGGCTTGAGGGCAAAAGCCTTGGCCTTGAGGGTTCAGGGCCTTGCAATTTTGAGTCAAGGCTCTTCAAGGCCCATAGATTTTTGCATTTTCCAGATAAATCTGTTCGAAATTTTGCTGTTACCATTTTAATCGTATTACCATGGAGGAGGGAAGCACCTATAGATGTGTGTGTTGGGCACACTTCCACTTTTGTAGCATCACATTTTGTTACCATTGTAGTAGATTTGCTGCAAAAATATTCAGTACACTTGTGGGGCTAATGAGATCTGATTGGTTGTATATGTCTCCCTGATACATGTAAGTGCTAAAGATTTGTGTTTTAGATAATGCTGATATTTCTGACCATGTTGGGCCAGCAAATACAAATTTCCCAAATCAGTTTCTTGGATCCCCCTTTTGTTACACTTGGAAGAATTGTGTGTCAATAAAGAAGTAAATCATTATTTTGTTTAGTTAAACCATATTGAAGACCTGAACTTATACTTTAATAGATACAGTGCAGTTATAAAACGGTGTAGGCCTATGCGAGCATGTTGATTGCAATTAAAGAAATGTTGTTCTTCGTAACGAGCAATTCGTGATGATAAGGGCGGATCCAGGGGGCCAAAAGGGGCCATGCCCCCCCCTCCCCCCCCCCCCCAAAAAAACGAAACCATTTTTTTTAATGTGACGTCGTAATAAAGGCAGGCAATGAGTACACCACCATCTTTTCCTCAAAAAAACATCGATTAAAATGGTCAGAAATTGCCTCAAATCGCACCACAGAGCATCTCGAATCCAAATTTTTTTTCGGGGCCCTTAAGCGGGCCCCGAAGCCCAAGCCGTAATTTTTTGACCCACTTTTTTGTGGGGGGACCAAAATTTCTTTGCCCCCCCCCCCCAATTGTGTTCTGGATCCGCCCTTGCGTGATGATGTGTCACTCATGTGACTATAATTAGTTCTATATCAGTGGTCATTTCATAAAACAGGGCCTTGGCCTTGAGGGTTAAGCCTTGGCCTTGGCCTCGAGGCATGAGGGTCAAAGCCTTGGCCTTGGCCTTGGCCTTGAGGGTCAAAGCCTTGGCCTTGGCCTTGGCCTTGAGGGTCAAAGCCTTTGCTCCAACACTGCGCGTAGTACCTAGTTTTTGTGATTTCAACATACAGGGTGAGCAGAATATTTCGATGAGTATTTTGAGTACCGAAATGTGTACTCACAGACTTTGCGGAATGAATTTTGATGAAAAGTTTGAGTAAAATGCAAGCAGGTCTTTAAAGAATTAAGTCAAAGTTGCAAAATGTATAACAAGATCATTAAACCAGATTTGTCGAGGTTTCTCGCTTTTTTTCAGCACTAACGTTGGTCTTTTCCAAGACCTGGACACAATTTATTTAGAGCAAATGCATTCACATTTTCCTTCCTGATTGGTTTCCGTCTAGATTGGTGGGTTGGGTAAGATCAAGACCAACACAATCATCAAGGAGCTCTCCAAAGCCTGGATGCTGGATGAGGAAGCAGCCTGGAGACCACGGAGAAGTTTCTTTGGAAGATCAGCAAGGAAGAAGTTACCACGCTCAAAGAGAAGGTAGAATCTCCTCCTTGCGCTCAAGCAACCCCCCCCCCCCTACAGTGAAAACTATAAATTTTATATTATTTATTTTTGTGTAAGTTGGTCAGTAGTGCAGAATGATTCACATGTTAACTAATGCATGCAAAATAGAGGAAAAAAAGTAAATGTTAATGACTTTCATCCCACCCTATATTTTCAGGCTATAGAAATGTCTAATCCCCCAAAACAGATTTTTACCTTCCCTACCATACAGTTGGTTTTTTTTATATGTAATAGAAAACACCACACTTTTTGTTCTTGGTTGGCCTTATTATTTTAATTTATGTTTCAGTGTCCAATTCATTTCATGGAGCCTTTCATCAGAGATCTCTCAGGTTATTCTGGATGGCTGCATGTCTAAGGAAACACATGCTTTATATAATGCTCTGTATAATTTTTGTTTTTGAACCCCCCCCCCCCAAACCTCCGCCCCCACCTCCCACCACCCCCAGGCTTGATCCTACTCATCGATCACCTCATCTCCATGAAATCCAACTGGGAGAAATGCAAGCTGCGCGTCTTTGCCGCCACGGGCAAGAGGGAGCAAATGGACAGGGAGAAGATGAACATGGCCAACATGCTCAGCAAGTTCCGCATCAACTGCTCGGACGTGGAGGTCATCCCGGACCTGAACAAGAAGCCCAAGGAGTAGAGCCTGAGACAGTTCAAGGAGCTGTCCAAACCCTGGATGCTGGATGAGGAAGCAGGCGAGACCACGGAGAAGTTTCCTTGGAAGATCAGCAAGAAAGTAGTCACTACGCTCAACGAGAAGGTATAATCTACTTCTTGCGCTCAAGAACCCCCCCCCCCCCCCTCTCCACAGAGAAAACTATAAACAAGGGCCATTTGGGCGCCATCGTGGCTTATAAATGCTGGTACCAAAATGAACGATATCCAGCATGAGTGAACCAGTGAAGTGTCCCTCATTCCGGCTTCTGCTTGTTTGACTATAAAGCGCCCTCTTTTGTCCATGCATGGAGACAATACACTTAGAGCTCTTCCCAGTACCCACTTTATACGGAAGATGGATAGTGCCACTCAATGAGTGTGAATATTTTTTCGTTGTTGTGTGTGAAAAATTATTTTTTTGTACAGCGGCCGCCACTTATTATGTGGCGACCGTCAGATAATAAGTGGCGGCCGCCACATAAGTCGCCATAATAAGTGGCGGCCGCTGTACAAAAAAAATATATTCACACTTTTTTATGTGGCGGCTGCCACTTATTATCTGGCGGCCGCCACATAAAAAAGTGTGAATATATTTTTTTTTTTGTTCGTGTGAAAATATTTTTTTTGTACAGCGGCCGCCAATTATTATTTCGCGGCCGCCACATAATAAGTGGCGGCCGCTGTACAAAAAAAATATTCCCACACGCACAAAAAAAATATATTCACACTCATTGAGTGGCACTATCTGTCTTCCGTAACTTAACGCGTAGTACCTAGTTTTTTGTGATTTCAACATACAGGGTGAGCAGAATATTTCGATGAGTATTTTGAGTACCGAAATGTGTACTCACAGACTTTGCGGAATGAATTTTGATGAACAGTTTGAGTAAAATGCAAGCAGGTCTTTAAAAATTAAGTCAAAGTGGCAAAATGTATAACAAGATCATTAAACCAGATTTGTCGAGGTTTCTCGCTTTTTTTCAGCACTAACGTTGGTCTTTTCCAAGACCTGAACACAATTTATTTAGAGCAAATGCATTCAAATTTTCCTTCCTGATTGATTTCCGTCTAGATTGGTGGGTTGGGTAAGATCAAGACCAGCACAATCATCAAGGAGCTCTCCAAACCCTGGATGCTGGATGAGGAAGCAGCCTGGAGACCACGGAGAAGTTTCCTTGGAAGATCAGCAAGGAAGAAGGCACCACGCTCAAAGAGAAGGTAGAATCTCCTCCTTGCGCTCAAGCACCCCCCCCCCTCCACAGCGAAAACTATAAACTTTATATTTATTTTTGTGTAAGTTGGTCAGTAGTGCAGAATGATTCACATTTAACTAATGCATGCAAAATAGAGAAAAAAAGCAACTTTTAATGACTATCATCCCACCCTATATTTTTAGGCTATAGAAATGTCAAACCTCCAAAACAGAGTTTTACCTACCCCACCACACAGTTGTTTTTTTATATGTAGTAGAAAACACCACACTTTTTGTTCTTGGTTGGCCTTATTTTTTTAATATATGTTTCAGTGTCCAATTCATTTCATGGAGCCTTTCAGAGATCTCTCAGGTTATTCTGGATGGCTGCATGTCTAAGGAAACACATGCTTTATGTCAAAGGGAAATAATGTTCTGCATAATTTTTGTTTGTGACCCCCCCCCCCCACCTCCGCTCCCCACTTCCCCCCCCCCCCCCCCAGGCTTGACCCTACTCATCCCTCACCTAATCTCCATGAAATCCAACTGGGAGAAATGCAAGCTGCGCGTCTTTGCCACCACGAGCAAGAAGGA